TGGTAGGATGTAGTTCAGAATTCCCTGGGTTTAATACCTAGTAGTGCCAGCAAGGGGTGGGGGGTGGGGCAAAGAAATGCTTTGCATTTAGGAAGAGAAGTAGAGAAAGTTAAAATGTATGTAGTCCAGGCTGGTCGTGAATTCACTGGGTAGTCCAGGCTGGTCTGGAACTCACATAATCCTCCTCGTTCAGCCTCCCAACTGCTGGAATAACTGGCAAGGGTCACAGCACATTTTGGAAAGCTGTTACAAAAACTTACTAGACACCAGACAGAATAATTCATTGGAGAGTATTCGTTAAGGAAAATTCTGAGAAGTTTGGTTCTGTTGTTTGTTTCTTGTTTTCTTTTTTCCCAACAGTAATAGAAATAGTATCATAGTACAGCTTGTATATATACAAGTTTTTATATGTATATCTTTTTATTATTTGGTGCTGGAAATTGAGCAAGGGCCTTGCATAAATAAACTAAGCATGTACTGTACTACTGAGTTATACCCCCAGCCAAGATGTCTATCTTAATGGGCAGAAAATAACATTCACATTGCTTAACACATCTCCTCAGTTTTATTTATTTATTAAACTAGTTTTGAACTAATTTTATATTCACAGGAAGGTATAAAGAAAAACAAAGAGGCTGCATTTGTCTATCACCTTGCCTTCTCTGATGTTAACATCTTATATTATCACAGTACAATATCAAAACCAGTGGTACAGTCCTCAGCATATTTGGATTTTACCAGATCTACGGGCACTTACGTGTTTTTGTGTGTGTCCGCATATAATTTTTATTACATGTATAACATTTTTATATTAAGGAACTTGACTGTACCATCACCATTCAACATGTTACCCATTTATATGCACATCTGCCTCCCACACATATCACCTGGCAACCACTGATCTGGTCTTCAACTCTGTAATTAATATCATTTCAAGAATTTTTATATATATATATGGATTCATGTAATGTGTATCCTTTTGAGTTATTTTGTTTTTGAAAATACGTGTTTTTATTTCAGGGCATTTTAACACTATGCACTTTTGCTTACTGATGATTTAAGCAGTGAAAGTTCGTATTTTATTCTTATTCAGTAGGTTTAACTTGCCAACATGTAAGTCATGCTGTCAGTGTGAATCATGTGAAGAAAGCAATAGCTGAGAGTCTATGGTCAGTTTGTTCAGAATGTTTAAAAGACAGAAGATTCTACGATGGACAACCAGTACTTCCTTCAGATATTTGGTTGTGCCTTAAGTGTGGTTTTCAGGTAAGAAAAGTGTTACCTGTGTGTCAGTATGTTTTATATTTTCCTTAAATACTAAGAGTTGGAAACTTGGTCATGCATAGGACTTATGATGAATTTACTCCATATTTAGAGTGAGACTCTCCAAGAACAAACTTACGTTTAAGGTAAAGTATGATGTGTGTTATTCTCAGAAGGTAATTGTGTGTAGTTCATAAATCCTTTGAAAAGGGACTCCCACCTACTTGTAGTAGCCCTCATATCTGGACCTGCCTTTATCTTTTGTATTTACTTAAGAAGTAGATCTGACTCTTTTTTTTTTTGGTACTGGGGTTTAAACTGAGAACCTTGCACTTGCGGGATCTGACTTTTTAGATTCATTTTTTTCCCTCTCAAAAAGGATTATTCTGCTTTGTTTTTGCAAAATAATTAGTGTTAGAGTTTAGAAATTTTATCTATAATGAAAATTTTTTCTAGTCAAATTTAAAGTATATACTTTAAAAAAAGAAAACAAGAGGAATCTATCTCCAGGTAGAAAGTCTAGAGGTAGGGCCAATTTGGTTCACTTAATTCAAGAGAAACAACATTAAAAACAAGTTTCTGCCAGAGATGGCAGTACACACTTGTAATCTCGGCCCTCAGGTGGCTGAGACAGGAGTATTGAGGGTGAATTGGAGGCTACCCTGGGCCATATGGTGAGTTCAAGGCCAGCCTGAACTACACAGTGAGACCCTATCTCAAAAAAAAAAAAAAAAAGAAAGAAAGAAAGAAAAATGAGATTTTTGCTATTTTTCTTCAGTGTAGTCCCTAACTTCGTAGTTCAAAATGACTGAAGAAGCTTCAGATGTTGCGTGTCACACAGCAATCCCCAAAGCCCATAAAGAGAGGAAATTACATACAACTCCCCCAGAAAGTCCATCAGACTTTCTTTCTCTCATGTTGGTGAACCAGCATTTCTTTAGTTTCATCAGTGAGGGGAATTACCATAGTTAATCTGTGCTTCATTCATTCTCCATGAGTTGGGTTGGAGCTGTGTACAGGACTGGGAAAAGTGTATTTGGGAAAGAGGCTGTACTGGCCTACCTGGATGCTTAGTGTCCCACCATGTTCAACACAGCCTGTAGACATTTGTAAGTAATAGAGAGGTTAGCTTTGCTTTTGATTGTTTTAGGTAAATACTATATAATGAAAAGTAAATTCAACTCTTTGTAGAGATTAATAGAAATCTGTATTGCTTTCTGAAATGTTTCCCTCTTGCTTGAAATTAAAAATAACTTTTTCAGTATATTTGAGTACAGTTCAAGTTTTGATTGATTTGAAACAAACTTACTTTGTTCACTTCCAGGGATGTGGTAAAAACTCAGAAAACCAGCATTCACTGAAGCACTTCAAGAGTTCCAGAACAGAGTCTCATTGTATTGTAATTAATCTGAGCACATGGATTATATGGTAAGTTATATTTTGTTAGTACTTTTGTCCATCAAAAAACAAAACAAAACAAAAACAAAAATATCTTTTTTTTAACCTTACAAGATAAAATAAAGATGTTATACCAATTTATGCATTTTTTAGCCTGAACACAATCTATAGGATAATTTAAGAAAATTAATGTTACCCATGAATATAAAGTTTAAGTTAGGAAAAAAAATCTAGTTTTAAAAATCTAGTTTTCTCTCTACCTTTCTCTAATATTTTATTTGTACCATAAATAAAAATTCCATCTAGTTTCTTTTTCATAAATAATGAACTTTCTAATATAGAATTCCAAAATTCTGTCAGAGGAAGATACTTGAAGCAGTCATGTGGTTTGTGATTTTCTAGAGGGAACAGAAGGCCTCTGCCTAAGTAGTTCATAAAAACTTACCAGGTGTGATGGCATACTCCTGTAGTCTCAGTACTCTAGAGGCTGAGGCAGGAGGATTGCTATGAGTTTGAGGCCAGTCTGGACTACATAGTGAGACCCTATTTAAAAAAATCAAACAATTTCTCAGGTGCTTTTAGCACTTTACCTGGGTGAAAACCTAGTCCCATCATTTTAGGTGTAAAAAAATCTAAACATTATTTACTTTTTTTGGATTATAAGTAAAAAGTAAAAATCTAAGCACTAAAAACAAGGTATGTGTATGTCTATGTTCTTTGTGTTGCTGGGATTGAACACAGGACCACTCTGTCACTGAACTACATCCCCACCTTTTTTATTTTTTACTTTGAGACAGGGTCTTGCAGGGGTGCCCAGGCTGGCTTCAGACTTTCATTCTCTTGCCTCAGCCCTGTCCCTTCTCCAGGTAGCCAGCAGTTGAGATTACAGGCCTGCATCATCAAGCCCAGCTGAAACGAGTTTTTTGATTCCCTAGATTCTGAGTAGCATGCTACGCTGTTCCTGCATCATATGTAGACATTATCATAAAATGTTCTTTCTGTGTTTTACAAGAGTAATTTTCTAATTGGAATTTCTGGACTCCTAAAGTTCCTTGAATGCATTTTCAGGAGTCCTCAAGCTTTTTTTTTTTTGGTACCGGGGATTGAACTCAGGACCTTGTGCAAGGCAGGCATGGTGCCCCTGAGCTAAACCCACGGCCCTCCTCAAGCTTTCTTTAAGGCAGACATTTCACCTTTGTGTTTTAGTTCAGGTTTCTAAAATTAATGCAAGGGAATTTTGGCTCGTAGAATTTAATACTTTCCTCTAATTTGATATGGTCGTAGGGGTCTGGTGTTTACTGCACTTATGTTTTTGTTGTTACTGGGGTGTGTGAGGAAGGAACGGAGAGAATTTAATGTGTAAATACTGTGTTGGAGGCAGGGAAAAAGATGATGGCAGGGTGACGTCATAGTGTGGTAGCGCAATAAATATTTTCCTGTAGTGGTCTCAGACTCTGGGGTACGTCAGAATTACCAGGAAGACTATTAAGGCAGATTGCTGGATCCCAGGCCTAAAGGTTCCAATTTCGTGGTTCTGGATGTGTCCTGAGAATTTGCACATCCAGCAAATTCCTAAGTGTTAACCAGTACTGCTGTCTGTGGGTCACGGTTTGAGAACCACGGAAGTAAAAAAGTTGGCAGAATAGGACACACACATGTAAATACCAAATAGTTTCTTTGGTCTGAGAAACTAAAAGTGTAAATAAGGATCAAAATGTATAATAGTTAATGTGAAATAGGAAGAAAAGGTCTAAAAGGGTAGAGGAAGTGTGAGGGGTAGGGGAAAAGAAAGAAGGGAAAGGAAAAAATATGAGAAAAGGAAAAAATAGGAACAAAGCCTCTGTAAATAGGGGGTGTGGGATTGAAAGGAGAGCAGGGGCATGGGGAAAAAATAAGAATCAAGATACATCATGTAAAGGTATAAATCTTGATGAATGTCATCATATTGTATGTCTAAAATGTACCAATAAACTTAATTAAAAAAAAAAAAAAAGAAGGGGGCCAGGGATTTAGCTCAGTGGTCTGCTCCTTGCCTCACAAGCACAAGGGACCAAGTTCAATCCCTGGTACCAAAAGAAAAAAAAAAAAAAGTTGGCAGAATTAAGTGGCACTTGGGAGAATAGGGTCATATCAAGTGAATCTGTGCCAGAATTTCTGTAAGTTTTGTATGGGTGGCGATTTAATTTTCAGCAAATAAGTCTTACCCATAAACTATAAACAAATAATAAATATAAATAAATAATAAACTAAAGAAGCTGTATCTTTACCATTTCTCTTCTGTCACTTAGTAATCAAGATAAAATTCTTGCAATTATTTTATCCCTTTTTAAAAATCTTATTTTATTTTTTAACAAAAACAGACAAAATGGCGTAATGGATTCCTCTATACCTATTTCCTGCTTTTGGACAATTATAAACTTACAGCAAATCTTATTTTATCTAGGTCAGGTTCTTAGTACTATTGATGTTTGTGGTAATTCTTTGTTGTGATCATCTTTGTTGTGCTGTTGTCTAGTTTATAAGATGTTTAGAAGCAACCCTGTCCTCTACCCGCTGGATGCCAGTAGCAGCCAGGAGTTACCAAAGTGTCTCTAAGCATTGGGAAAAGTTCCCATGGGGACAAAATCATATTTATTGAGAATCCCTGACATACCTTTACCTGCTTCTCCCTTCCCATTGCAGTTATTTTGACACCTCTCCCTCATCTTTTACATCTCTTTACTGCTTTTCCCTGCAGATAATATGAAATATGTCCACTTCTCTGCATATTCTTGATGCTATACTGATCTGTTTCTATTCCTAATGCCCTCTAGTCTAGTTTATCACATTCTTCAGAATGATGTTTTTAAAATATAATTTGTGTTGTATCATTGACTTGCTTAAAATGTCCTTCATGGCATTTCATTACGCATAAGGTGAACTGCAGGACTTTCATTTGAACTATGAAGCTCTGTACAACCATCTCAAAAAGCAACAAAAAAATAAAGATGAAAGTGGTCACATACCAGCTTTTGTTTCCTAATATGTAAAATTATTGAAAGTACTGTCATGATATTTGACTTAAATTTATGTTTTTCAGGTGTTATGAATGTGATGAAAAATTATCAACACATTGTAATAAGAAGGTTTTGGCCCAGATAGTTGATTTTCTTCAGAAACATGTTTCTAAAACACAAACAAGTAAGTTAAACAATTGCTAAAGGAATTTATATTAATAATACTTTATACTTCACATAAAAGATTCATAAATTCATAGAGTGCTTTAGATTTTACCGTGACATCTTATTCTGTAATTGGAGTAAAGATCTTGCAATGGTTAAATCTTTTTTTGTTTGTTTGTTTGTTTTAGGGGGGGTAGTTTGATACAGAGTCTTGCTATGTAGCCCAGGCATGCCTCCAACTAGTGATGAACCTCCTGGTTCAGCCTCCTGAGTGTCGGAATCACAGGTGTGCACCCCGACAGTTGACTTGTTTTTCAAGACAGTCTCATGATGTAGTTCAGTCTGTCTTTGAAATGACAATGTAGTGCTGGTTGGCCTTGAACTTGCAGTGATCTTCCTGCCTCTACCCAAGTGCTGGGATTACAGGCTGGCAGTTTTGGTTAATCTTGTCATCATCATTGGTGTGAGAGATGTCTAGGAGATTAGTAAAGCACACTTCTGCACGTGTCTGAGTGGGTTGTGAGGCATGACTTTGGTGTCTTAGTTACCTTTGTCATTGCTGAGACAAAATACCTGACACCCAAAGTAAAAGGAGGAAAGGTTTATTGTAACTCACAGTTTGTAGAGGTTTTAGTCTGTAGTTGGCAGACTCCAGGGCAGGGTGGTGTGTCAGAGGGTCATCACAGGGGAGACATAGTCCATTGGATGGCAGATAGCAGCAAGCAGCAGAAGCAGCAGCGAAACCTCCCCTTATATGATATCCAGGTTACACCACACCGAGGCTGGGCCTTCCTGTTGTCCATATCCAGAACTATGCTAAAGCCATATATCATATATCAGCCATAGGTGGACTGATATAGTAATCACACCCCTCTAATCCCAGCATCATACCCTTAATCCCAGCATCTCATATCCTTGACAATGTAGTGCTGGTTGGCCTTGAACTTGCAGTGATCTTCCTGCCTCTACCCAAGTGCTGGGATTACAGGCTGGCAGTTTTGGTTAATCTTGTCATCATCATTGGTGTGAGAGATGTCTAGGAGATTAGTAAAGCACACTTCTGCACGTGTCTGAGTGGGTTGTGAGGCATGACTTTGGTGTCTTAGTTACCTTTGTCATTGCTGAGACAAAATACCTGACACCCAAAGTAAAAGGAGGAAAGGTTTATTGTAACTCACAGTTTGTAGAGGTTTTAGTCTGTAGTTGGCAGACTCCAGGGCAGGGTGGTGTGTCCATTGGATGGCAGATAGCAGCAAGCAGCAGAAGCAGCAGCGAAACCTCCCCTTATATGATATCCAGGTTACACCACACCGAGGCTGGGCCTTCCTGTTGTCCATATCCAGAACTATGCTAAAGCCATATATCATATATCAGCCATAGGTGGACTGATATAGTAATCACACCCCTCTAATCCCAGCATCATACCCTTAATCCCAGCATCTCATATCCTAGATCCAAGCGCCTCCAAAAAGGCATTATGGGGACATGGATATAAGCCATCACATTTGGGGACCGAGTGTGCCACCTTTCTGTCTTGATTTTCCACTTTCTGCTTCTGACTGCTCTGAGCTGAGCAGCTTCCTCTGCTGTGATGTTTCTTCCTTAAAGCCAGCTAACCACAGACAAACCTCTGAAGCTGTGAGCCAAAATAAACTCTTCATTTAAGTTGTGTCAGGTATTTTGTCCCAGGAATGGGAAGGTGATTAATGCAGCTATTAAACATTCTTGGCAATCTCATAATGTTGTCTTGTGATGCATTTCCATAACCAGTATGAAAGGTGAAGTATGAGTCACTGGATGATGGGCTTTTAAATTGCACAGCCCTAAATTGCATTTGGTTCCCCCACTTACTGGCTGTGAGAACTCTGTCTTGTGAGGTTGTTGTGAGGCTTAGAGATACATTATGTAAAGATGTAGAAATAATGTATGTAAAAACACATGCATGATGCCTGACACCTATTTCATGATGCTTAAAAAGGTCTCTGTTAGTATTTACTACATAACTGCACTTCAATTCTGATACCAAATATCTGGAACTTGGCCAGCCTTCATGGTTAAGGACTCTAGTTGTGCACAGGACTGCTCTCACTGGAGACGACAGCCATCCTCTTCAAGTTTCCAGCCCACTGTATTTATGGCTAACCAGCTACAAATTTGGTAGTTCCCATGATTTCTTCACATTTGACAATTCACTAAAATAATTTGGAGAGCTCAGGAAAGTGCTGTGTTTAAAACTGTTTTGTTATAGCAAAAAGGAATACAATCAGCCAAAAGAAGAGACACATATGGCAAGGTCTGAGAGCGTCCCAAATATGAAGCTTCTGTGTCCACTCCACAGGGAGTGAGGACCTTCACCCCCAACACACACACTACGTAACAATGTGCAGGGAGTATCATTAACCAGGGAAGCTCTGGCATTGAGAATTTTACTGGGTAAGCATGATTGCTTGAATCACTGCAGTATCCCTGCTCAGCCTTCAGTATCCCTACTCCAATCCCATGGTTCAGCTTTCTGGCCTGGCTCCCATGCAGATTCATCTTTAGCATAAATTGTCTAGGGCCCCTTGATGAGTGATGTTGTCAACACAAAGTATCCACTGTGACTCAGAGGGCTGACCGTAAGTTAACAAATATTCTTGTCACTGTGGCAACTCTAGAGTACTTGCCAGGAAACTCAAACATAGGTCAAGAAAATAATTTATTATATGACAGTAATGTATTATGTATTATGCACATTGTTGACTATATGTTACATATGTGTTAATAGAAAGTGAGAACCTTTAGAGAGCAAGGTTCTTCATCCAAAAAAATAAATGCTTTCCACATGCCAGGTATCATACTTATTCAGTATTGAGTAGTGAAAAAAAGTAATTTTATCTTGCAGAGCTTGCAGTATTGGGGTCTAGCATATAGTGAGGAAGCCAAAAAATGAACAAATATATAAATTCTGGTAAGTGTTGCACTGGAAAGATTGCACTGATAGGTAATGTTCTATTAGTCACAGTGGTGGAGAGAAGCCAGTATGACTGAAGTAGTTTGTTAGGAGGGAATAGAATGAGATGCAGGTATAAGGTGGGCAGACAAATCATCAAGGAGTTTCAGGAATTACATGGCAAAAAATATTTAATTATAAAGTGTACTGGAAGTTAGTAAAATGTTTTAAGCAGGCACTATCAGAGTTGTTTCAATTCATGATTTTTAAAAAAATAAAGATAACTGATTAGTACATGGAGAATAGACTATAGGGGTTCAGAGTAAAGGTGGAGAGATGGTTACAAAGGTTAAAGGAGGTTATGGTGGCAGGTTAGGTGAGAGACTAGTAAAAGCTCTGGTGGAAGGTGAGGTGGGGGGAGTGGGTGGAATTAAGTATAATCCTCAGGATTTTGACTGAGCAAGTAGATGAGTGGGAGTGAATGGATAAATTAAGTTTGAGATGCCTTTGAAGCAGAATTGAACTTCTTAGATGGTGGCATCCAAAACTGAATAGTCATGTAAAAATATAATTGTCCAAAAAAGGAAGAACATAGTCACCAGTTGTATTTTCTATAGATCAATGTGTAGCTGTCCTTGTTAGCTGTCTCAGGAATGAGATGATAATAGTGAAGAAATTGGACAAGCTAGAGGAGGTAAACCCAGGTTCCTGAACAGCAAAAGAGATTATTAATTTTATCACTCATTCCTTTACTTATAAAACATACATTTGTTGAATTGTTTCGGGCATGCCAGTCATAGCTCCAATTCTGCTCCAATAAAGAGCCAGGTAAATATTGGCTCTCTATTATGTCTGTTCCTTTTATGTCTGTGGAAAAAACATTTGACACCAGAAGTTAGTCTCATGTTGTCTCCTAAAAATGGCACTTTTCTTTCTGTCTGCTTTTGGAGGGGGCTATAACAAGAAAATACACAGGTATATACTATAATGCCATGGGTGATGAAAATACAATTGTACAATTTATTTTCTTTGAATTTGCTATTTGGAGATTTATTGAGGTTAAGAGCTAAGCCAGTCTGATCTCCACTCATTTTTATAGATTTCTTGAGTATTTATTACAGAAAAGATGCTAAGTGAGGTAGCATGGAATGGCATGTTAAAAACATTCAGATTTAACACTCAAAGCTGGGGGTTTGGTGTATTCCTGTAGTCCCAGCACTCAAGAAGCTGAGGCAGGGGGAATCACTGTGAATCTGAGGGCTACATGGTAAGTTCAAGGCTACCCTGAACTATGTAGTGAGACCCTGTCTTATAAAAAAAAAGTCTAATTTATCAAATTTAACATTCAGTCATTAGTGTGTGACCTTGGGCAGATTACATTTATGGGAGCCTCTTTTTCCTTAGCACTTTCTTGTCCTTGTAGTGCTTTAGTAAGTAGAGGTTGGAGGTTCCTTCCCTTAGCAGTCTGAAGATCTGAAAGAAGTTATAAGATAAAAAAGTCATTGAAATGCAAGTAGAAATTGCATTTCTCTTTTATTTATTTAAAAAAACAATTTTAAAGTTTCTATTTTAATTGATGTTCAAAGCTCTTCAGGTATTCAGAGAGGCTTGTGATGTTCACTTGAGAAGAAAAGGAATCTTGAGTGAGCTGGCTTTGAAGCTCATCCTTAAAGGGAGACAGGCAGATAGAGATTAGAAATCTCTTCAGGTTCTGGGAAGCACTAATGTAAAGTTTAATTCTTTAATTGTGTTTGTGGAACTAATGACTAGCCCCTGGGATGGTGGGAAGTGGACCCAAGGTAATTTGAGTCTTCAAAGTCAGAGTAACACATAGTTCTTAACAGTTTCCAGAAGTTCTAGGGCAAAATGGCCTCACCTTTGTGGGCCAAGTGACACAATCTCTCAGGAAAGTTTGATTTAAAATAAGATCTCTTGGGAGTTTAGGTTAATAATCTGCCATGGTTTGGTATGAAGCTTCAACAACATTTTATAAAATACTTGAATATCAAATATAGAAGTTTGTAAGAATATTGAATATAATTTTGTTATTTTAAATGATAATCGTGATGACTCTCCCCATGTAAAAA